TTTTTTTGCGGAACCAGGGACTGAGCTCAGGCCTTCTACTGAGCCATCTCCATAGCCCTAAAATTTTTTAAAATAGTTGTGATAATAGGATATAACAAGGTGGAATAAGCAAGAGAAAAATGCTCAAAAGAGAAGCTCCTAGGGTGCTCCTAAAAGCATGTTCTAAAAAGGACTGTGTTCTACAAAGGGCTCACACCACAGGATGCCCTGCAATGAGAGTCCCTGGTCAAATAAGTCTGGAAAAAAGACCATGACAGGGCCAGCCAAATAGCTCAGTGGATTAAAGCACCTGCAAGCAGGTGCAGGTTCAAGGGCCAGGGATTCAATCCCCTGGCCTGCCGTGCCAGCCCCGCTCCCAAGGCAGGCTGAGACAGCAATTGAGACTGAGCATGGTGGTGCGCACACCTGTAATCCCAGCACTTGGGAGGCTGTAAACAGGAGAATCACTACAAGTCCATTCTAGTAATGAGACCCTGAACACCCTGTAGACCCTTCCCTGAAATGCAAAAGAAAAAGAAAAAAAGACCATGGCTTCCTAGAATATCACAATGAGTATCAGCAAGTGACAAAGCCCTAGGAAGCCAAAAATACAATCTGTATCTCCCATTCACAGCCCTTTTGTCACTAACACTCAGTATCGCAGAGAAAACCCTAGAGATTGCTAATGTAATGACTTCACTATGGTTCTGTTTCTCACTTGAGACAAAAGTTTACAAGTCTTCCCACAAAAATACCCGCACCAGAAATTTCTCCATGGTCAACTCCATGTCTCTCCATGGCCAGGAGGTACCGACTCCACAGGGCAACCGTCCAGGGGCAATTTCTAACAGCACGACTGTGTACAGATAAAACCAAATCCTTTACTTTCAGCTGCCGATCCTATGATAAAGAATTCCAGAATTAGAAAATGAAGTTTTCAAAAAAGAAAATGAAGTTTTCTTAAGATTTCATCATCAAACAGGTACTGCCAGCATAATCAAGTGACTACAGAAATGTGCATTAAATGTCTCCTGTGACATGGCTTCTTCAACAGAGTAATCACCACTGCAGTGGACGAAAAGAGAGGCGGGACCAGAGAAGAACCTGTGAAGTCAAAACAGCCTTAACAGACATCAACTGATCCTACTGGGCGGACCTTTCCTATAGCCTCTTTTATGTAATCTTTTATACATACATAACAAAATATTTATTAATGAAATATCATTTCTAGATTTGTTTGAAAATAACTCAGAAGGGGGAAGGAAGTAGATAAGACAGGTATGAAATCACAAAACCAGACCAGAGCCGTAAGTGCTCATCATCCCTGAAGGTGGATGATAGCCCCGAGGCCTCATTTTACCAATCTACTTTTATGTTTACACTTTTTCCTAATAAAAAATAAAAGAAAAAACATCTGTTATAAAGTCATCAATAGTAAGGCTATAAGCAAACATTTAGTACTATTAGTAACTGTAAACATGAGAAAAAAATTTCTAAGCAAGCTGGCCAAGAGAAGGGAAAGATGGAAGAGAAAGCAGAAAGAGAACGCATGCAGCTAATGCCTGACACACTTAGGATTATGTTTAAACAGACTGTAAATTGGTAAAGGCAAAATAAATCAGAACAGTTATCTTACTAGGTACTGACTGTAACGGATCCATAAGTCTGGGACGAGGCAGTTCTCCACCAGGGCACGCTCAAAGATCAATTGAATGCGAGCAGGGTCGCCAATTTTCATCTCAAAATCGATGTATGCCTGATATTCTGCCAGCCGCGGTGCCTCTGCTTGCAACTGGAGCACAGCAAAACAGCATTGAAATAAAATTTAGTTACTTGACACTGGTCAGGAAGCACAAAGCATCTTCAAATAAAATACACACTGAAGAGAGTGGCAACACTAAAAATCACCAAATCCTCCCTCTCAATACTCTGCAGCAGGACCTGTCTGATGAGTAGAGTAATAGTCTTCCCACCTGGTCAAGAGCGGGCAGTACTTCCAAGGATTTTTCCCTTCTCTAGGTGATCCCAAGATCACAAGGAATTGAAACAGGCCACCAATCAGAGCATGAAGGAAAGAGCAACACCTCAGCCAGTGACTACTGCTAAGCACCCTTCCCAAGTAGAGGGACGGATCCAGGCAAGAGAACGCAGTGTCTTACGCAATTTCAAAAGCTCACTCAAATATCAGTCCTAAAAGAATACAGGTACAGGTAAAAGACAGAAGAGGCTGGCTGAACATTTACTAAGCCAAAGATACACAATTACACATCTTTCTATGCAGAAGCCTCTTACTCAACTTAATTTTTCTTCAACCATTCTGCAGATGGCTACAACAAAACTGAACCGGGTGAGGACTTCACTAAGGACACTGTGAATACAAGTATGCAGAAATCCTTCACATGAGAAAAAGAAAAGCTGAGGAGGATTGTGCAGGCTGATCAGAAAGCATAAATGCCCTCTATATAAAAATACAGTGTTTTAGAGCCTTGGCTTCCAGTAATGGTGGTGAATTAGTTATCTAGGTATTTTATGGCATCTGTAGTTTTGATAACTAAAAATTTCTGTATTAAACACTAAAAATAATCTTAAAAATCATCAACAAACTGGCAAAGAAACAAACATTAAGCATAAAATCTAACTAAGGACAATAAGCTAAGTAAAAGTGAAGCCTTTACTGGCTTAAGGATCTGATATTCACAACAGTTTTGAGACAGACCTCATTACCACCCACATCCCACACTCAGGGAAACTGAGTCAGAGGGAGTTGAAGTACTAGCCTGGAGTTCCAGTCAGTAAATGGCACAGCTAGAATTCAAGCCTAAGTCAAAAATCCTCTGCTCTTACTCAATATACCAAGAAAGGTATAAAAACAGAGTCAAGAGAGCCAATAGTGAGACACTATCTTGGATGGATGGATGGATGGATGGATGGATGGATGGATGGACAGAAGAAATAGGACTGTCAACACAGAATACTCAAAAGACCCTATAAATTAACAGTAACAATTTAGCGAGTTTGCTAGATTAAAAAATTAATATAAAATACCAATGGCATTTTATATGCCAGAAATAATGAGAAAGAAAGTTTTTAAAAGACATCATTTACAAATACAACAAAAACCATTCTGAAATACATCTTTAAAAAATATTTTCAAAACATTGGCTAAATTTATGAAACTGTTAGAAAGCTTTATAAAACTTAACACAACAGAGACACAAATGCTCAGGAAGATTCTTTCTCAAATTGATCTAAAGATTCAATGCAATTTCAATCAAAAACTGTACTTTTAAAAAGGTAATTTTAAGTTTGGTGGAAGCACCTATAATAGAAAACGCCAAGACTTTCTAAAAGAGGACCAAGGCAGACAGGACTCATCTAATTCAAGATCAAACATCATAAAACTATCCTCGCTGTGACAGTATAATACAAACCTGAAGGTGGAACAGAGACCCCGGAAGACAGGCACACAATGGATGCTAAGCTAGGACAGACATGGTACTGTGCCCAGGAAAGGATGATACAATTAATCAGAATCGTAACTAGAACATCTGGTTCTCCATATGGGAAAATGAAGCCAGACCCTGCCTCATACCATACACAAAAGCCATTTTAAGGTGGCTAAAGACCCACCATGAAATAAAAACTATAAAACTCTCAGAAGAAAACAGAACTAAATAAATTAAAGAGCTGAGCACAAGAGGGTTCTTAAGTGCACAATAATTTTTTGTGCACAACAAAAACATAAACCATAAGAAAAATACATTGGTAAATCCACTTATATTAAAATTAAGAACCATACGTTAAAATATCCTTTAAAAAATGGATAAAAGACAAGCCACAAACTGGGAGAAGATTTTTATAATGCATACAATCAAAAAGGATTAAGACTTGGGACTCCCAAGAATCAATTAGAAAAAAGAAAAATGAAAACAAAACCGAAAATTTCTTCAAAGCCCAGACTTTTAACAATCACTTCACAGAAAAGGAAATGTGCACAGCCAATGAACAGGAAAAGCTGCTCAAAAGGATTTGCAACCAAGGAAAATGCAAATTAAACCTAGAATTTCAATAAGATCAGCTAAAGCTTAAGTGAGCCAATACACAAGGTCAAGAGATAAGAATGCAGCTCCTGCTGGCAGGAATGCACCTCAGACCTGAGAAACACATCAGCATCTTCCTGTGGGCTGGCAGTTCCACTCTTAGAATATATTCTAGAGAAAACCACCAGGAGACACAAGAATGTTCAGAGTAATGCTGCTCCTCCTAGTAGAAACCTAGAAATGACCCAACTATTCAGCCCCCTGGGTAAATTGAAGTATACACAAGCAACTTTACAGTAATGCAAACAAACTAAAATACTTATTAACATGAGCAAAACCCAAAAACATGCTGGATGAAAGAAGATATACAGCAAGAATCTGCTATGTAAAAGTTCAAAAACAAGCAAAATTAAACAATACAATAATTAAGGATCGATTCAAACTTTGTTAAAACTGTAAAGAAAAGCAAGAGAATAATTACGACAAAAAGGAAAGTGATTACCTCTCGGGAGAGGGAGGAGGAGGCAATCGGAGAGGGGCACATAGGAGACATCTAAGGTACAGGCAATGTTCTATTTCTTAACCTGGGTGGTGGGTACATGGACGTTCACTTTATTATTAGGATGTAAACTGTATGTCCACATTTATACACTCTACATAGTTCACGATAAGCTTTAAGACAGCATTTAACTCACAACTACTGATCAGGAAATGTCTGCAGAAAAAAGCTTGCCATCAAAGTAACCAACACTCACCAGCGATTCTTCATAGGGTTTGTATTTCTCTAGCTGCTGCAGTGCTTTGTTGTAGCTCTGAACTACTGATTCCGGGACGGGATCCTCCGACCACTCTTCATACTCTGCAAATGTGGCCTCCATATCTATTGAAAGATGAATTCAGTCCTATGGGTCTTGCTTTGGGGTTCTATCAGAGTCAATGAAGTGATCAGCAATACTAACACACTCACAATACTTACCTAGTGCTTCACAGCCCAGTGCAGTGGTGGCAGACCTAGAACGTGTGTGCCACGATACTGCTATCACTGAAAGCTCTACAAGGTTCACCAGCACTGGCCTAGCACTTCATACCTATGTTTCTAATATGTCACATCCACTACCTTCCTCAGTCCTCACAAATCTATAAGGAAGGCGCCACTGTACTCCTCGTTTTGCAGTCGAAAAAACTAAAGCACAGGTGTGCTAAGCTAATTAGCCACAGGAAAGAGTAGAGCAAGCCTATGCACCAGGCAGCGTGGCCAAAGTTCACACTCTCAATCACTAAGCCAAGCTGTCTCACACTGATTCTGGAGATGAAATCTACAAACCCATTTAGTCTCATTATCCAACAACTGGATTAGAGACCCATTTTCTAATATTCTAAATCAGACCCAAATAAACTATAAAGCTTACTTATTCCTCAAGCAGGGAAATAACAGTGAGGCTCAGGCAGGGGTACACAGGGGCTCTGGGTGTAGATAACGCACAGCCATGCCTACAGGGCACCAAGAAGGCAGCGGCCTCCTGGCATCCAACAGGCCACAGCTCCAGAGCTGAATGGCTGGCCTTGCCAAACTGTATTCTCTATACTGCCAGACTCTCTCCCAAAGCCCAAGAAATGTAGACATCAGTACTTCTAATCAGCTGTATTTCTCACCGACTCACCCCAACAGAGGAAAGATAAGCAGAATCAGCACCATTAAGGAAAGAGAAAATGTTTACAACACAACCCTTACTTACTAGTTTCTGCAGAAAATACAGCAGTCTTTCCCTATTCCCGTCAGAAACATTATCTCCACCTTTCCTACTATGTCTTAAAGTAGGAAAGAGCCCTCTCCTGGGCATCAAGGACAAGAGAGGTCTAAGAAGCTCATCCACGGCGGCACTGGCCAGTGAGCACGGAACCCGCACTACCTGCCTCACAGGACGCTGGCAAGCTCTCATACAGGACACACTTAGAAAACCATGAAGGGCTGGCTGCCGACAAGTCAGTTTCTCTTACCGTAGAGTGGGATCGCCAACTGTCGCCGGAAAAGACTGTGGATTTTCTCAAGCTGTGAATCAAAGGTTTGTTCCCGGTCAAAAGGGGAAAGGAAGCCAGCTATGGGCTAAAGAAGCAAATTTGTAGTAAATAATAAACTACAGTTCTTTCTACTTCAAAACACATCTCCACAGATTTTCAATTCAATCTAAAAAATTCCTGACTTAACACGAGTATCATGTCAAATGCTGGAGTACAAAACTAAACATCATTTCTGCCACTAAAGGGATAAGACAGAGAGAGAAAAAAAAAAAACAAACAGGAAAGAAAAAAATACCAGAAACATATCCAAGCCATGTGTGGGGTGACTCACAAGACGGGGGAGGCTGAGGCAAAAGTACCAAAACTGAAGTCCAGCCTGGACAATTTAGGGACTTACTTAGGGAACCTTGTCTCAAAACAATAAAAAAGAAACAAGCCTATCCAAATGTCTACAATGTTGCAGGATGTAACTAGCATAATAGTAAAGTATCATAAGATCACAGCATCAAATGGATTGCTAGGTGGTTCTCAGGGGTGAGCTGTTATAGAGAAAATCAGGAAAGGCTCCCAGGGGAACTGGCACTGGGAAAGCACCTGCACACTCAGTAACTTCCATTGAAGGAATTGTCTGAGTAAAATTACAGCAGCCAGAACGTCCTGGGGTCAGTGACAGCAGAGGCCACACAGGGATATGTCTAACATTAGAGATCTGCGAATGTTAGGCCAAGGCACCAGCCTGGCACCTTACTCGGTAGGCTAAGCACCCCACTAGAGACTTTTTAACTGTGCTATGAACAAGAGGTATGAGGGCTACTTCATCACATAGGCTGAGTTGGGACCAAGGGTTTTGAATTTTGGATTTTTTCAGATTTTGGGGTATCTGCGTATCTATAACAAGATGTCTTGGGGAGGGGAGCCAAGTTTAACTCATGTTACACAAAGCCCTGAAAATGATTATTTTTTAATCTTTATTTATCTATTTGGTACAGGGTCTCACTCCACAGTCAGACTCATAGTGATCCCTCTGTCTCTCCCCAGCATTGGGATTACAGGTGTGTGCCACCACATCCAGTTTCAATGGCCAGCACAGTGTGGGGCTGGCACAGCATGTGGCACTCGGGAGATCAAACCTGGACCTTGGGGCCCAGGAGATGGCTCAGTAGAATAAGCGCTTCCCTGGTAAGCGCGAGGGCCTGAGTTCAATCCCTGGTTCCGCAATCAATCAATCAATCAATCAATCAATCAATACCTGGTCCTTGTGCTTGCCAGGCAAGTGCTTAGACCAATGAGCTATCACACTGGCCCTGAAGGTGATTTTAAAACCCCTGTGTTTTGACTGTAACCTGTCATCAGGAGGCTGTACCATGCAGCACTCAAAAGTTTTGGATTCTGGACCATTTCAGATCTCACATTTTCAGATTAAGGATGCTCAACCTCCTTTTCATGTTAGAGGGCTCTATTACATACCATCAATACCGATGCGCATGTACAAAGACAGGACACAGCTATAAAATTCTATAAATCGGCAGGGAAAGGTGGCGCATGCCAGTACCCCCAGCACTTGGGAGGCTGAGGCAGGAGCATCACTGTGAGTTCAAGGCCACCCTGGGCTACAAAGTGGGTTAAGGCTACCCTGAACTGCATAGTAAGACCCTGTCTCAAAACAAATCTATAAATTATAGGTAGCTCAGCAGATTAAAGCACCTGCTTAGGCAGATGCAGGAACTGGGGTTTGATCCCCAGTGTGGCGGGCAGGCCCCAACCCCGGGGAGTGTTGAGACAGTGATTGAGACCGGATGTGGTGGCACACACCTATAATCCCAGAGCTTGGGAGGCTGTAATCTGGAGGATCACTACGAGTCCAATCTGTGTAGTAGGACCCTGTAGACCCTACACTAATTACATAAAAAATTCTATAAACTATAGCTTTAAAGTGTAATTTTGATGGCATTAAGTTTCCTCTCAATTTCAACTGAAATATACATACATACATACATACTTACATATACATTTTCATATATATTAGTGACATACCTATTGTGTATTCACCAGGAACTATGTAACTAAAGCAAAAGTATTTAAAATTAAAAAATAAAACGGGAGAAAAAATAAAAGCTGGGGAGACAGCTTGGCAGTCCTGCCTGGCAAGTGCAAGGACCAGGTTCAATCCCCAGCACCATGTATTGTTTCCAAAAACTGGGCATGGTGGCAAAAGCCTATAATCCCAGCACTGGGGAGGCTGAGACAGGAGGATCACTATGAGTCTAAGCCATGTAGTGAGACCCTATAAGAAACGCATTTAAAAAAAAAAAAAAAAACAGCCAGGGATATAGCTCATCAGCATAAGCACCTGCCTGGTAAGATCAAGGTCCCAAGTTCAATCCTTGGTACCAAAACCTGAAGAACCTCCTTTTAGACGAGATTGGGCGCGTTCAGGGTGGTATGGCCGTAGACAAGAACCTCCTTTTAAGTTATATCATTCTTGCTATTCGACAAGAGTACTGACTTCATTTTATTGTTTATCCCCTAAGAAATCCGCAAAAATCATTTTGTTAACAGGAGACCCATAGTGGATCCCACTGTTTTCTTTTTTTTTTTTTTTCTTTTTTTTTTAATGTATTTGGTACAGGGTCTCACTACACAGCTCAGACTCTAGTGATCCTCCCAATCCTCCCGTTTTCAGCCTCTCCAGCGCTGGGATTATAGGCATGTACCACCACCTCTGGTCTCCTTGGCTGACTCTGCACCCAGGGGCAGAGCCCACACAGCATGTGGTGCCGGGCACTGAACTCTGGTCTCTGTACTTGCCTAAGCAGGCACTTATTCTGCTGAGCTATCTCACTGGCCCTGGATGTTTGCTTCAAAGAGTACTTCCATGACACATCATAAAGACAGCTGCTAACCACTCAGAGCTAACCTCCAGGCATGGGTCCTGGAGACGTGGCACTCACCCGAGCAGCTTCGACGATGGCACTTTCAAACTCTCGGTAAGCCTCCCAGATGGCCAGTCCTTTGGTCATATGCAAGCCCACAGAGGAAAGAGCTCTTTCAAATACAGAGCGAACTTTCTCCAGGCCACCCTTCTGTCCAATTCCACCGACTGAGTACTGGCCATACTCTAACCAGATGTTAGGACCTAGAAATGAGAAGTGTTCTATTAGTTCAGGGCATAAAATAGTCAAACACCACAGTAGATGCAGAAAGCAAGTGCCCACCAAAAACGTAAGGGCATAATCAACAAAAATCTCAACCTAGCTATACTAATGCTGCTGCCTGAAAAAAATTACCTTAATAAACAGCCCTACCAATTACAGTCATTGGGATTTTACTGCATAAACCAAGTGGTAACATGTAGAACAATTATGATTATAAAGTTTATTTAGTAAAATTAAAGGAAGCTGGGGATATAGCTCAGTGGTAAGGAATATGGCTTAACTCCCAGCACCAAAGGAAAAAAAAAAAAAATCTAAAGCCCAGTGAACAAATTTCAATGATAATAGGTAATGAAAGATTTCAAAACCTACAACTTTCTAACTTTCAAACCCTGATTCATTTTTAAGTCATTTGAAAAAAAAAAAAGTCCTTATTCCATTTTGGGGGCCTGGCCCTAGCTCAGTTCTTTAAGTGGCTGCTTCCACAATGCTGGCAGCCTCAGTTTGCTGTAGTTCGATCCCCACAACACTCCAGCCATGCAAAAGTGCCCTGAAGGCATTCAAGGAGCAAAAAAAAAAGTCATTTTTAAGTCATTTGGTTAAAAAGGTAAAAAGCCCTGATTCTATAAATAACAATCTGTATTTTGAAGTTCTATTTTTAATGATGTTCAAAGAAAAGACAAATGGTGAGTGTGCCTTCTGTCATCTTCTTCTCACATATTCACTCCTGTGCCTTTAAGACCAGACCCATTAAGCTGTGTGTAAAGGCATTCATTCTTACTGTACATATTCTGCCTCCTAAGTCACTTTCCAGGGATCAGAAAATAATCCCAGGGGCCTACCGTTACTATTTTCAACAGAAATTCTAAAAAGATAAAGCAGCTAACTTGGGGATTGCTCAAGGTTGCTGGGGCTTGCTGTTGCACTGGGAACTCACAGATGTAGTCCTTCACGGCTTTCTCGAAGAGTTCGTACACGTGCTCCCGGTCCAGGCCGTCCACGGCCATGCTGATCTCATCGTGCAGCCACTCGAGCCACAGCTCTAGAGACAAGAGCGCCACCTGCATTCGCGGCTCCCACCAGAGGGCAGGCCGGGTGCAGGCTTCTCCAGGGGCGTCGGTACGCACACATTTTACACACTTAGTTACACAACCCAGTTCAGGTCACCAAGTTCAAACCTTAAACCCGCCACCAAGCACACAGGTTTTATGCTTCCAAACAAGAAGTCACTCCAATAGTAACAGCCCATACCCGTTGGACGTTTTCTGTGAAATACTTATAATTTTTTTCTCATTCAATCTTGGTCTCTACTACCCTGTAAGGTAGGTGATAGCACCAACAGCAATAATTGAAGGCTCTAAGCTCTGTCAGGAAGGTGTTAACTGCTGGCCACAGAATAGCTTGTTCTAGTCTCTCATGCACCAAAGCCATAAACAAGTGTTTTCCTCGCTTACTGCTAGGAAAACTGAGCCTTAGACTGCTTCCATCGTGTGCTTAAGGCCTCACAGCTACAAGAGGTCTAGCTAGGAAGAACAAATCTGGGCGATCCGACTTCAGCAGTCTTCACCTAGCAGTTTCACTTCACAGGAGACAGAGCTGAATCTCCAACAAGGGTTGTACACCTCCTGCCTGAAAGATCACTTATAAATACTAAGACGATTTAACTACAAAATTGTTCAATGTTATTAATTTCTAATTAGCAAATATGTAGAAATAACCTAAATGTGCAACTATGGTAGAACAATAAAGGTATGAAACACCTGCACTAAAAACCATGCAAGTATATTTCCAATTTACTGGTTCTGAGAGGACACATATACACCTACTAGAATGGGAAATAGCAGAGCGAAGTGTAATTACACAGAAAAATTTGTTGTAGTATTAGGATAAAGAAGTAAGGATTCAATCCGTGCATCCAGGCAAGGCATTGTGAAACATGCTTGAATACCAGCACTCGGGAGGCTGAGGCAGGAGAATCACTGAGTCAAAGGCCAGGCGGCTACATAGCAACACCTTGCCTCAAAACAAAAAATGAATCCTTGTATGATCATACCATGTTTTGCAAAAAACTATGGAACAATACACTAAAAATAGTTTGACTTTGAATGATGGGCTTTCTTTTTTCCACTATGCAACCTGTTTCTAATTTTCTGCAAGGAGCATATTCAACTTTCAGCATTGAAAAATGGTGCGTGCCCCTCAGGCCTCCATGCTCCTAAGAGCAGCCCTATCACAGAAGCCTACCTTCGGTCAAAGGGAAGATCTCACTCATTTTCTGGCGGGCCATCCGCACTTTGGTGAGCTCCCCCTCCAGCCGGAGCAGCCTGATCAGGTCCACGTGACAGTTGTAGTCATAGATGTTGATAGACAGCTAAAAGGAAAAAGAATAGAAAATGAAATTTAAAAATTTGATCTTCACTTTACACAAAATTTAACTAAGATCCCCAGCCTGCTCTGCCGGCCTCCCTACCCCGACCCAGGAACGCTGAGACGGGGATTGACACTGGGTGTGGTAGTGCCTGCCTATAATTCCAGTGCTTCAGAGGCTGAAAATGGGATGCTCACTACGAGTCCAGTCTGTGTAGTGAGACCCTGGACATCCTGTACTACATATATTTTTTTTAAAAATTAAGATGTTTAGAACACACAGATAATCTTTAGGATCTTCAGTTATGCAGAATTCCCAGATACTCAAAGCATAATTCATAAAGTAAAAAATTTATAAACTGGATCTCTTCAAAATTAAAAACTCTTGTTCAATAAAGCACAATGATAAATGAATGAAAATCAAAGTATAGACGGGAAAAGAATATTTGTAAGCCAGCTAAAGGCTAGCTTTTTAAAAATTTAACTTTCAATTCAACAGTTAAAAAGAAAACTCCAGGGCCAGGGAGATAGCTCAGTAGAATAAGTGCTTTGCCTGGCAAGCGCAAGGGCCTGAGTTCAATCCCTGGTTCCGCAAAAAAAAAAAAAAAGAAAGAAGAAAACTCCAATTAGAAAACAAGCAAAGGGGCAGGGGAAATGGCTCAGTGGAATAAGCACTTCCCTGGCAAGCTCAAGGGCCTGAGTTCAATCCCTGGTTCCTCAAAAAAAACAAGCAAATAAACACGCACGAGGGGCCGGGGAGATGGCTCAGTGGAATAAGTGCTTCCGTGGCAAGCGCAAGGGCCTGAGTTCAATCCCCAGTTCAGCAAAAATAAATAACCCACGCACGAGTAAGTGTTCAACATCACTGGCTATCAAAGAAATAAATATAAATCAAAACCACATGGGGCTGGGGAGGTAGTTCAGTGGCTTAATCATCTGCCTGGCAAGTGTAAGGTCCCGAGTTTGATCCTCAGTACCTAATTATTTAGGTAAATAAATAAAATCATAACAAGTTATCATTACACAGATATGAAAATAACTACAATTAAAAACTGGAGACACTAACTGCTGGTGAAGATGCTTAAAAAAACTAGATTACTGACTCCTCATGTATTACTTGTAGGAAGGTAAAAATAGGAAACAGTTCAGTTGTTTCTTTTTTTTTTTTTTTTGGTGGAACCAGGGATTGAACTCAGGTCCTTGCGCTTGCCAGGGAAGCGCTTATTCCACTGAGCTATCTCCCTAGCCCCTGAGTTGTTTCTTATAAAATTAAACTCTGTGTCACTTGGTAAGGTCACTCTTAGTCATTTTCCGGGATAAATAAAAAGTGTTTTCACTCATACACCTGTACATGAGTATTAACACCAGCTCTATTCCTAACAGCCAAAACAGGAAACAAGCTGGATACCTCTCAAAGGAACATGGTTTTACATCCACCACAAGGAATACTATTGAGTCATAAAATGGAGCAAACTAATAAGATACACAACTTGGATGAATCACGAGGGAGTCATGCTGAGTAGAAAAGATTCTCCCAAAAAGATGCACACTGTGTGACATGTTTACATAACATTCTGGAAATGGCAAGGCAATTTTGCGTCAGAAAAGCAGTCTTCGTAATTTTCCACACTAGCAGAATTGAGGGAGAAAAAACAGTGATCTCGATGCAGAAAAGGCATCTGATAGGTCTATGCCCATTTGTAGAGGCAGGGGATATAGCTCAGCAGCATAAGTGCCTGCCTGGCAAGAGCAAGGTCACCAGTTCACTCCCCAGTACCCCCTCAAAAAAGAATGCCCATCTCTGATTAAAAATTTTTAAAGTAGCAATCCAAGAATTGAAAGGAACCTCCTTAACAGATAAATGGGTACTCAGCCAGGACATAGCTCAGCAATAGGGCACGAGCCTAGTACACAACAAGGTCCTGGCGTCAATTCCCAGGGCTCCAAGACAGAAAAAGAAAAGGTAAATGTTATAGTGTGTGAATCATGTTTTTAAAACTTCCTTTAAGGGCCAGGGAGATGGCTCAGTGGAATAAGTGCTTCTCTGGCAAGCGCAAGGGCCTGAGTTCAATCCCCGGTTCCGCAAAAAATAAAATACTTTAAACAACTTCAAACTAGGTGCAAAGTTTACTATAAAAATGTTCATCTAGGGGCCGGGGAGAGGGCTCAGGAGCCTCAGCT